CCTCACACTAGGACATCTGTTGTGACAATTCCACGACACCTCCTGATAATGATAATGAAATTTCTATCTTTGATGCTGAAACTTAGTTTGTTAATGAACATTCACCTAGTGATAATGAAAAAGATAATGCTGATGTTCATGAAAATACTCAACCAAATAATAAAGAACCAGACAATGATATTGAGATAGAACCACCTGTTGATCTTGATATCCCTTAGTTTCAAATAGGACCCCGCTGCCACGGGAGGGTAGGACAAAAGATGTCATGCACGTTCTTTCCATAAGCACGTATGACTATTGAAGGAATACATGCCTACATTATATTGACGAACTGGAGCTAGTGTCGTATCGCCCTAGGTTATAACTGTCTCATGATGAATATCATCCAACAAGTCACTGATCCAATGCCTACGAATTTATCTTATATTGTTCCTGCTAAGTTACTACTGATATCATCACTGTTACACTTGCTATAAAATTACTGTTATCACTGTTACCGTTACCGTTGCTGCTGTTACTATTATCAAAACTATCATACTACTTTGCTACTGATCGCTTTGCTGCAGATAATTAATCTTCAGGTGTGGTTGAATTGACAACTCAGCTGCTAATACCTTCAAATATTCTTTGGCTCCCCTTGTGTCGAATCTATAAATTTGGGTTGAATACTCTACCCTCGAAAATTGTTGTGATCCCTTATACTTGTGGGTTATCACATTTCCTTAGGCCCAAATATGGTGAAGTGTCATGTAGTTGACATTCACATGACACCAGTAAGGGAATCACAACATACATACTATCAAAATATCGAACACATATCAAATTCACATGATTACTTGCAACATGATTTCTCCGGTGACCCCAAGAACAAAGGTAACTACTCACAAATGATAATCATGCTAAAGATTAGAGGGGTATTAAATAGCATATTGGATTTGAACATATAATCTTCCACCAAATAAACCATATAGTAATCAACTACAAGATGTAATCAACACTACTAGTCACCCACAAGCACCAATCTATGATTCCAGTAACAATATTGAACACAAGAGATAAACTAGGGTTTGAGATGAGATGGTGCTGTTGAAGATGTTGATGGAGATTGCCCTCCCCAAGATGGGAGAGTTGTTGGTGATGATGATGACGATGATTTCCCCCTCCGGGAGGGAAGTTCCATCGGCGGAATCGCTCCGCCGGAGGGCAAAAGTGCTCCTGCCCAAGTTCCGCCTCGAGACGGCGGCGCTCCGTCCCGAAAGTCCTCTCCTTCTTTTTTCTAGGTCAAAATGACCTATATGCCAGAAGATGCGCACCGGAGGTGGGCCTAGGTGAGCACAACCCACCAGGGCGCACTCAGGTGGGTTGTGCCCACCTGGTGGGCCCCGTCTGATAGTTATTTGCTCCAATATTCATCATGCATTTGATAAAAAAATCTCCGTGAAGTTTTAGCTTGTTTGGAGTTGTACATAACAGGTGGCCTGACGTAGCTTTTCCACGTCCAGATTTCCAGTTGCCGGAATTCTCCCTCGTTGTGTATACCTTGCATATTATGAGAGAAAAGGCATTAGAATTACTCCAAAAATCTTTATTATGGACAAAAACATCATAAATAATAGTAAGAAAACATGATGCAAAATGGACGTATCACAGCCCAGAGGAAACACATCAGCAGACCAATGCTCGACTAGTGTTGATGGACGCATGCTCACACATGTTTGGTTGATCGCAATGTGTGTGTGTCCAGTTGATTATACAGAGTGTAGACCATGTTGAGTTGATGGCCCATTGTTGCAGAAGAAGCTGCTCACACGGGAGTCCCGACGGTGTTGTCAAAGTCGTCACGATCGGTGGTGGCGACGATGGACCAACGATGGACAAGGCATTGACGAGAGAAGCCAACTACGATGCATGAAGACATCCCTTGTATGACACGTCCTGACTTGACACATAGTTCGTGACGAGGAGACGCCTGGTGTCGAGTTGACGCCGATGTCGAAGTACATGCGTGTGAGGCCAGTACAGCATGGGCGACACAAACCGTTTTATGTTCGGTGAACCAAAAAAGAAAGACGCCAGTCAAACGATTGACGAAGAGAACCATCGATGAATCGATAGGAAAAAAAGACTTTCAGGGACAGTTGACAGATACCATGGAGATCGATCTCCCCGGAGCGGCGCAGCGCGGAAGTTGGGGTGTATCTAGGTTTAGGATCTTGTGATATCATGATAGAGGATGAGAATTGAGAGAATGCAATTTGTATCGTATATTCAACCTCTCGGACGAGTGTATATAAAGGTCCTTAAGACTTAGAGTATAGAAGGCCCACTAAATATAATATGTAAACAATTCCTATCTAATTTCATGTTATCTCTAACAACCAAATATAAACTCTGACAGGTATGTGGCTGGCGTGCAAAGAGAACATTGTTGTCTTGATTGTAGTTGTGCTATGATGCTCCATTGGCCTTTTTTTAGAAGTTCAAGATCCACTGTCTGGGTCGGACCTTGTATTTGTTGTTTACTCAGGTTGGGCAAAAGAATGTAATGCCATATTCATGATATTTTTTGTTTCCTGTGGTTGGAATGAACAGAGGATGAATACCTCGTGTTTAGCGTCGATGGTGTTGGGACAAAGCTGAAGCTTGCATTTGAAACTGGTATTCATGATACAATTCGGATTGACCTGGTACATGATTAATTGCTATATATATGCGCTCTTTGTCACATCTATCACGTGGAGTGAATCAATCCCTATATTTTTGTTCATCATTGAAGGTTGCTATATATATATCAGTGTCAATGACATCCTAACATCAATGCAAAACCATTGGTCTTCTCAAATTACTATGCTACAGGAAAGCTTGATTTCGATCTTGCAGAGAAGGTAATGTCGGTGTTGTTGTTCACTTAACGCAACATTTGTTGCTTATTGTAATCTTGTCTTCCGCTCATGATGTGCTGTCTATTTATACTTGAATTGTATAGGTTATCAAGTGAATTGTGGATGGATGTGAACAATCAAGCTGTAATTTGATAGGAGAGGTGAGACCTCCTGAGATAAGCTTTTCTCCATAATGAATCTCGTTGAGTCATTTGAATAATTTATCATATATGAACATCTGTATAACTGCAACGATATGTATTGAGTACTTATTTTTATCTTTGGGTGCATGGACAAATTTTTAACTGAAAATATCGTGATATTTGTCGTTGTTCATTTCTTTGTAAATTTGGCATTTACTCTCCATAAACATTCCATATGGACTATGCCTTTTTTGTATAATAAACAATACAAAAGGACATTCCCAATTAAGTAATTGATTGTGACAGACTTCAGAGATGCGTGGTCTCTATGTGGAAGGTGAATAGGATCTTGGTGGTTTTGCCATCGGTGTTGTGGACAAGGATAAGCTCATCGACGGTAAAACACCATGGAGGGAGATATCCTCATTGGTCTTTCTTCAAGTAAGGTTCATTCAAACGGGTTCTCTCTCCTTAGAAGGTATGTTACACTTATCTAGTTCAGTTTGTCTCAAATTTAGATAGAATGATTCATAGTTCAAAATTTATCCGTTTGTTTTCTCATTCTTTTTCTCGAATTGTTTATGGTTTATGATAGCCAAAAAGATTCTTATTCCTAGAGTATTGTACAAAAGTGGACTCTACTTGATTGATCAGTTCCCAAGAAACGATGGCAAAACAAGTACCGTCGTGAAATTCTCATGACACCGACTGTCATCTATGTTAAGCAGGTTAGTCCATATCGATGAATGACCCGTATTTCCCATGGTTTTATTTTTATACCCAAAGTTGTAGCTCAATCATGTTGGATGAAAAAGGTGCTTGAGATCATCAGCAAGGGTGGTGTGAAAGAACTAGCCCATATCACTGGTGGTGGCTTCACTGATAACATCCCGAGAGTATTTCCTTCTGGGCTCGGGGCGAAACTCTTCACTGGATTGTGGGAAGTGCCACCTGTCTTCAAGTGGCTTCAACGAGTAAATATCTAACAAACAAACTTGGTTTGAACATTCTTGGACAATGTATTCACTCTCCCTGTACTTAGTTATTGGATTATTTGGTACATGTTTATAAGTTGGAAAAATTAAAGACGCCGAGATGATGCGGAAGTTCAACATGGGCGTCGGGATGCTCCTTGTGGTACAAGGAGGCAGCTGAGAGAATTATCGAGGAATCAAGCCCTGCTTGTCGCACTGGAGAGGTGATCCAGGGCAAGTGTGTTCACCACGTCCGATGCCTCGCAATTATAAGCTTTCTTCAGCTCGATTTTGGAGTGGTTTGAGATTCCTTTGTTTTGTCGTGTGGGACTTTTTTAAAACTTGTTTATCTTAGGCGTGCTTCTGATATTTTTGTACGTCTGCTTGTCGTGCTTTTAGGTCTGTTCTTTTTCAAGTGCTCCGCCCGGTAAATTTCCACAGTTTTAATCAGCTCGACAACTACCACATTCTATAGATGAATGAATGACAATCGTCAAAGGGCAATCATCAGGACTCAAACTGAAACTGTTTTCGCGCCTTGGGTATTATTTTAAGATACAGAAGCTACAAATACCATGTGTTACTGACTGTTTGTTATAATCTTCACCATCATTTGAGCAGAATTCTTCCAAGATGGAGCTGAGGCTGCGCGGATTGAAATGAGCTCGGCATAACAACTGAAGCTAACCTGAACAAAGTTTTGCCTTTTCTTTTTAGGAATCTGAACAAAGATAATGGTTATCAGAATCATCATCTCGTCAGCTGGTGTCTGGCATCTTAAATTGCAGAGTAATACAGTACTATTTGCAATTTCAGGTGGAAATTTGGGAACATGTTAATGTGAACGACAAGAGCAGACGGAGCAATAATTTAATCCGGCGTCACGCTGGCGAGTGTCGACTAGTGTGCCTCCTGTCGCGAAAGCTCCGTCTTTTCCAGAGTCAAAAGCGAGCCCGTGAGCCGCCGCCGCCGCCGCGCTCCGATCTGGATCACCCGCGAAGATGGAATCCCTTCCCGTCTCCGTGGTCACCGTGCCGTTCCCGGCGCAGGGCCACCTGAACCAGCTCCTGCACGTGTCGCTGCTGCTCGCGGGGCGGGGGATCCCCGTGCACTTCGCCGCGCCGGAGCCGCACCTCCGGGAGGCCCGCGCGCGCGTGCACGGCTGGGACGCCGGCTCCCTCCTCGCCCTCCGCTTCCGCGCCCTCGACGTCCCGGCGCACGCGTCCCCGGACCCCGACCCGTCCTCGCCGTTCCCCACGCACATGCAGCCCCTGTTCGAGGCCTTCTGCGACGGCGGCGCCGCCCGGGCCTCGCTGGCCTCGCTCCTGCGGGAGCTCTCGGCGTCCCACCGCCGCGTCGTGGTCCTGCACGACCGCATGGCGGCCTTCGCGGCCGTCGAGGCCGCGCGGCTGCCCAACGGGGAGGCGCTCGGGGTGCACTGCCTCGCCGCGTCCTACAACGTCGGGTGGATGGACCCCGGCCACCGCCTCCTGCGGGAGCACGGGATGGTGTTCCACCCGGCCGACGCCTGCGCGACCAAGGAGTTCGTGGCGCTCGCCAAGCGGATGGGCCTGGAGCGCCGCCGCGCGCCCGGCGCCGGCATGGTCGTGAACACCTGCCGCGCGCTCGAGGGCGAGTTCCTCGACGTGCTCGCCGCCCAGAGCGCCTCCTCCTCCGACGGCCACACGCTGTTCGCCATCGGGCCTCTGAACCCGGTGCTGCCCGGCACCGACGCGGCCGCGGCCGCGCAGGCTCCGGCGGAGCGACACGAGTGCCTGGAATGGCTCGACAGGCAGCCGCCGTCGTCGGTGCTGTACATTTCGTTCGGCACGACGTCGTCACTCCGGGCAGAGCAGGTGAGGGAGCTGGCCGCAGCGCTGCGCGACACCAACCAGCGGTTCGTCTGGGTGCTGCGCGACGCCGACCGCGCGGACATGCGCGAGTCGGGCGGCGCGCGCGGGCTCGCGGACGCGGCTGCGGCCCTGCTCGGCGAAGCAGCGGCTCAGGGGACGGGCGTGATGGTCACCGGGTGGGCACCGCAGCTGGAGATCCTGGCGCACGGCGCGACGGCGGCCTTCATGAGCCACTGCGGGTGGAACTCGACGGTGGAGGGGCTGAGCCACGGGAAGGCCATCCTGGCGTGGCCGATGCACAGCGACCAGCCATGGGACGCGGAGCTGGTGTGCAAGTACCTCGGGGCCGGCGTCCTCGTGCGGCCATGGGAGGAGCGGGGGGGCGTCACGCCGGCGGCCGCCATCCGCGAGGCCATCGAGAGGGCGATGCGATCGGAGGAAGGGGCGACGGTCCGGGAGCGGGCGAGGGCGCTCGGGCAGGCCGTTCGCGCCGCCGTGGCCGACGGCGGGTCCTCGCGCCGGGACCTGGACGACCTCGTGGCGTACGTGACGAGGTGACGGACCGATCGACGCCTCGACGGCGCGGCAAGCCGGCCATAGATGGGCAACGTGGAGCTGTCAAGTTAAAGGTCCATGGCTGTTTACCACTAGGTGAAATTGTGACGGCGTGGAAGGAATACTAAGAGTGACATGACTGTCGTCGAGTCGAGCTAACCAGTGTCATCGCATCACAACCAGAGACTCCCTGGCAATGTTTCCCTGCTACCTAGACCTAGATCCACAACCAGAGAAATACTACGACATAGTTGGAGAAATTTGACCGTATTGATATTTCTAGATGAATCTAACTGGATTTCAAGTGTAAATTCGCTTGACAGCTTCATAAACAGAATGATTTCAAGTGTAAATGTCGAGTATGGAAGGCGGGGCAGAGAGCCCAAAATGAAGGCACCACATGACTAGCCCAAAAGGGAGCAAATAGTAGCATTGCGTCGCCAGGAGGCGCCACCAATAAACCCCTCGAAACAACACCATGCCCTAGACTGATATTCTCGGCAGCCGGTCAAACAAGCCACGATGAATCCGAGGTGCTGGTAAGCACATGTTTTGTATCGTGGTAGATGATGATGTGATTGGAACAACATTCTTTGACACGACGAAGCCACATTACTTCAACTATTATGAAGTTTGTATGACCTTCGAAAGTTGCCTAAGAAAAACACATGATTTGGGTGGTTAGGGGATGCTTGATTAGATAGTGAGGGAAGAAGAAAAAAGATGCAATTTATACTAACATTCAAAAGAAACAATACACGAGATTAGAATATTATTAGGTCTCATTTTAAGTTCCGATCAAAACTTGTAAGTTTTTTTTGTGAATAAGAGAAAAATTATATGCCCCAATGTATTCCAGAACGACAATTTTTGTTCCTGAAGAATGCAATCCTAGATCCCTTTTCTGCAAATTTCTGTTAGTTTAGGCAAAGTTTAGATGAAAAACACCCCCTCCTCACGCCCGAATATCATATCACACACACAAAAAAAATCACAATCTTATCTTAGAAGGGCAAAACCGCCAGCAAAGGGGAAAAGCCGAACCCCGCCGGCCGCCGCCACCCGCCGGAATGACGAAGCCCGCGGCGTCCTTGGCCTCCCTCCTCCCGCAGCTGTGGCACCGGCCCTTGCCGCCGCCGCCCCTCCTCCCCCGCGCCCTCTACTCCTCCTCCCCGCTCCTCACCACCCACCGCCGCACCCCACGCCACCGCCTCCGCGTCTCCCCCACCACGCACCTCGACGCCGCCGCCGCCGCCAGGGCAACCAGGGCCGCTGACCCCGTAGAGGCCCTCACAGCCACCTCGTAAGCTCCCCTCAACCCCACCCTTGCCAACAGCTTCTGCTCCGCTCCGCAGGCAGCACACTGACGGCGTTGGCATCTACTGCGCTTTGTCTGCAGGTACCCAGCGTACGACAGGCTTCTGCCCTGCCCGTCCAAAGACGACCCTCCGAGGATCGAGCACCTCGTCGCCCGGGAAGACGAGGTCGCCGGCGATTTCATCTCGAGGTCCCTCAACCTCCCCCCTATGTAAGCACCCATACGCTCTGTATCTGTATCTGTTACGCTAGCTAAGCTTATTGCAAGGTGAAATGCGTAGGCTAGGCCGGAGCAAGCACGAGTGATTTGGTAACATTGTGCGCGTGAAGGTACGTTGCAGATCTCATCAAGTTTGGGGCCGTGTACTACGCTCTTGTTGCGCCGCAGCCGCCTCCCTACGCCGCTCCGGAGCATGTGAGGATCTTCAGGGAGGTGACAGAGCCTTCGCTCCTTCGCCGGAGGGCGTCCATTAAAGGGAAGACCGTCAGGGAGGCGCAGAAGACGTTCCGTGTGACCGACCCCAGCCAGCGCCTTGAGGCGGGCACTTATCTAAGGGTTCATGTACATCCCAAACGGTTCCCCAGGTAGTAAAATTCTCTAGGTGTTTTTATCTGCTAGGATGGTTTGCATTGGTGATTGCTATGAGTTATGCTGAGTGACCAAATTGGTTTGGGTGCTAACGAATCCGTGGTTTGCCAAATATTGTCAGGTGTTATGAAATTGACTGGAAATCCAGGGTAGTGGCGACGACCGATGACTTTGTTGTCCTCAATAAGCCAGCTGCAACATCAGTATGTTCATCTTTCTTTCCTTTCTCCCAGATGTTTGCGTCTACTGTACATTTCCAAGGCCACACATATATGAGAATTAAAAGTACTGGTTATGTTTCTGCAAGTAGCTATCTGGTTTCTCTAATTTAGCTAAGCACTTATTACTCCCCCCGTCCCATAATATAAGAGTGTTTTTGACACTAGTGTCAAAAACGCTCTTATATTATGGGACGGAGGGAGTATCTGTGTCTTTTCAAAATTACATTGACTACGCAATCCATTTACTTCACTAAATGCTGGTTCCAATAAATTTGAATGTAACTAAATGGTGGCTTCATAAAATTAATTTAAGTGTAGCTAAATGCTGGCCTCACAGAATTTAAGAGAAAAGCTACATGCCACTGATGTAAATGCACAAAGTGTAAGATTAGGATTGTTCATGAAACATAAGTTAAAAAAAGGATTATTCATGAAACATGAATTTTAGTTTCAGAGCTAGTGAGTTGAGGAAAGATCCAGTTACTGCATTAGAATATGGATAGAAGTTTAAGAGTCCAGAGTCCAAAGCCCAAACTAATATCCTTTGATAATTTTTGAATGTCTAGGTAGGAGGGGCAACCGATAATATTGAGGAATCCTGCGTGGTTTTTACTTCGCGTGCATTAGGATTGGCGAGCCCTTTAATGACAACTCATCAGATTGATAACTGTTCTGAGGGCTGGTTTGTCTTTTGCTAACATACTTACATAAACCATATGTTGTGGAATGCAAATAACTAATCCTGTCCTTTTCACTTAATTTGAGAATCTGCAGTGTGGTATTGTCTAAAACCAAGGAATTCTGCTCAGTTTTCCATGGATTGATAAGGGTATGTTCTTTTATTGCTCACGATAACATGTTGCTCTGTGAACCTCTGGTGACATGATTTTTTCTTCTGCAACAGGAAAAACAGGTTAAAAAAGTTTATCTCGCACTCACAACAGAACCTGTGTCTCCAGGAATAATTACTCATTACATGCGCCCCCTTAATCGTGCTCCCAGACTTGTTTCAGAAGGTAATCCCCGACCTGCAGTTTATTGCTCTAGTATGTTTGAGTGTTAAAGTTGTTGGCTTGAGTTGAAGTGTACATGTATTTGGATTGCAATTCACAAACATATTAGACTTCAGGTAAAATATCCTACTTAGCATATATGCAGTAACACACCATTGTTACATTGTGACCGTTCATTATGATTTCATTGAAGATAAATAATTGTTTACGTATAGAACTCACATAGTACATGTATGCGAGATTTTTGTGTGCGTTGCCTTGTCACTCATTCAATTGTGTCAATGCTGTTTGGATGTTAAAGAATTATGCTGTCTTTGACGGTTTGACCTGACTGAAACAAGTATGCTGCATAAACTTCTAGCCTAACTGGTCGTTCTGAAGTTATAAACTAATAATTAATTAGTGCAATATTGTCTTAATGTTAGATATTGTACCAGACATGTATAGATATTCTGCTATACTTACATTAGTAGATTATTAATGTTTTTCTCATACTTTGCCAGATCATATTGAAAGATGGCATCTCTGTCAAATGGAGATACTGGACTGTAAGAAGGTTCCATGGCCAAAACCTTTGATAACAAAAGTCCACAAAGTGGACAACTGTGGGTGGCCCAAACAGGAAGCTGCCTATGAATGTAAAATCAATCTCATGACAGGGAAAACTCATCAAGTATCGTATCTCTCTTCTTCAAACTAATTGCTTTTTTATTTAAGGTTTACCATTCATCTGCGATGTTATAAATTCTTACTGTATGGAAGGACACCATTAAAGACCTTCCTTTTTCTTTTTCTTTCGGTAGCCTAAGTTTATTAAAACTAACACGCTCGTGGCTAGGAATATAATACTCTGATGTAAACTGTAAAACACTATTTGCCTATTTCTGCTTTTCTTATTTAATGTACTCAGAACATTTACATGGATCATATGGGATAGTAGTTTCATGGATCAAGAATGCCTCGGTTAATCTTGACAGTGCATAATTGCCTTTTTCTGCTTGTGTTATTTAACGTAATCAGAACATTTAGATGGATCATATGGGATAGTAGTTTCATGGATCAAGAATGCTTCGGTTAATCTTGACAGTGCATGTAGCCCTGATACTTCTCATATTCAAAACTGGTATAGGAAGTTCCCTTTGTTTCCTCCTTGATGCGTGGATATACAGAATAAAGAGTACCAATGTGATTCTGTGGTTGCTCTTAAGCTAAATCTGCAGTTATCTTCTTTTCTTACATTGGAGTAGAGTGCTCCTTGTAAATTGAACAATTTGTCAGTGTTGCAATTGTTTCATTCATTGGTACAATCTTTCTCCACAATGTTGCTTACAACCACGCAAGTGTGTAATTTGTAAATTCAATGATATGCAGATTAGAGCACAACTGGCTGCTATAGGCGCTCCGATTGTAGGGGATTCTGCGTACATGACTGGAGCGATCGCAGCAATGGCTGACCCAAGCATAAACCCATATGGTAGGGCGAGCCTGAATTACAGCAGTGAAGAGGAAAAAGCTGCTGCTGTTGAAGCATGGGTTGCTTGCCATGGCAAGGAACCAAAATCCGTAATTGGTCTGCAAGCATCTGAGATATCCTGGGATCATGAAGGCGAGCACCACTATTACAAGGCTGGGGCCCCTTGGTGGCGGCAAGACGCGGTGGAGTCCGACCTGGTTTGAGCAGAGAACCACACCCCTGAAACAGTTGCCCCCCTTAACCTGAAGGGTCCCGAACCGCGCATCCTCCGGTGGAGTGAGGGATTCGAGGTGGCTCACCAAGAAACATGCCCAACATATCGTAACTGTTTTTGGGCCGGAATGCCTCGCCACCAGCAGCTAGAACCAGATTGACACACTGAAGATCTTCTGGCAGAATGTTTCACGTCTCCTTTGTGACCGGTGTTGGAAACTGTAGCTGGTGCAATTCGGGACAGTGGTGCACTGCCAATGCAGTTTTGCCAGTTTTTTTTTGCCGGGGTACCAGAATTTTTTCTTATGGGTGGGTTTACCAGATTTTGGCTAGGTGTTGTAGATCTGGGTTTACCAGATTTTGGCTAGGTGTTGTAGATCTGTGAAATGGCAGCTGTATCTCGTAGTAGTTTTGGCTCGTCCTCCTTCTGTACTCTGCCTCAAGATCGAAAGGAAATTGATTGGTTGTGGTGTAGAACTTGTCAGTGGAAGCGCGTGGCCCATGCTAGATTTGGGCTGCCTTTCCCTGATCCAGCAAGCTCTGAAAAGGAGGGAGGCATTTTTTGTTCCGCTGTCTTCTCTTTCGGAGAGCGGACGTCCTGGACGCAGCGGCATCATATCCGGCCGCGCGTGAGGCGAGGTGATCCGCATTAAACTTTGTTAAAATAATGTAAAGAGTAAATAAACAGCTAGATTTAATGTGTCTACTATAACGCGCTAAAATTAACACAACACACAATTTAGAGGGTGCTTGGATCCAAGAGACTTATTTTAGTCTGACTAAAAATAGTCTCTTTAAGGCTAAAGTTCCAAGCATCCCTGACTAAAGAGGGGCTAAAACTAGTCTTGACACTAATTTTTTTAGTCAGGGGTACCCTATTAAAATATGAATTAGTCCTCTCTCTTCTCATTTAACTCCTCTCTTTTAACATATGCGAGTTCTAAATTAAAGGGCTTGGAGGATAATAAATGCTTATTAATTTAATTTTAGTCTCTTTAATATTTGGATCCAAGAGTGCTACTCGGTTAAATGATCACCTACAGGCCACTCACAGCTGTTACCATTGGCCGACTAGCCTTCTTGTTGGCAAAAATTAGCCAACAAGCTCTTTCTCGGTTTTGGTTATCTGGCAGCATCATATTGTTGACAAATTAGTATTGTATATACGCAGCTGCGTGGTGAGCACATAGCGAACTATTCTTTCGTCTTTTAATTAGTATTGTATATACACATGCGCAATTGTCAGACTTTTGGGAATATATAAATAATATTTGAAAATTTCTCTGCTGAGGTACGAGTTGGAGAGATTTTCCCCTGCCGGTGACATAAGGACCGCAATTAAACTTCCCGTGATAGGCATGCACATGTCACATGTGCCGGCCGGCGGGACGAGTGGTTGACAGTTCGTGTCACACAATATTGTTGAAGAGAGCTCGGATAGATCAAGCATCATAGGCTTTGCCCGTTTTTTCCACGAAAAGGACGCAGATCTAGTTAAAAATTCACCAGGGTACAAAACATACCAAACATAATATAAATTATACCGAGATCTCTAGACCACCGAACAACCACTGTTGTTACCAGAACGAGTTGCCGACGCGTCGCTATCGCCGCTTCCATATCGAAGTTGTCCTGACCTTGTCAATGAAAGCCGAAAAATCTCCGTGCATGTGCCCTTAAAGATCAACGGTCCGGAGCCGCAGTCGTCGCCATTGAACACTTGATCCGATTTGAAAATCCTGGCCGTAAATACTACCATCGCACTTGCAAAAATAATACGAAAAATGTATTTGGCAACCGTGTGACAGATTGCAAAACTGCCACACAATCCCATCAATGTCCACGGACACGATCCCGCCGCCCGATCGACCCGCACCGTTTCGCTTCTCCCGCGCACGATCTTCTCATGATCCCATCTAGCAGTTCCGCTTCTCCCGCGCGTGTGATCTTTTTTTTCCTCTGTGCGCAAAAAAAATTAGCGCTAAGTGGGGTTCAATCCCTCAACCAACAGGTTCGCATGTAGGCTGAGTACCACTGGGATAATTTCATTGGCATGTGCACAAGAGGATTAGCTAAGTATTCAGGTTGTCAGAGTTCAGATGGATCCAAACCAAGATTTGATCCATCTCGTGCTCGCGTAAATAGAAAAGCTTGGGCACTCTCTAACAACTGACTAATGTTCAAAATTTGCTGCTACTATATATATCGGCATCTCAATTTCCGTACATCTCAACTTCCGTAATTCTATATTTGTTTTAGCTGACGATGGTAACTTTGGTCCGAATGAAAAAATTGTTGAAACATTTCCCTGATAATCTATGTGTAAACAACATGTTAATGTATGCACCGCAAAACTGATAACATATGAACACACACACGATGGTAACTTTGACTGGGGAAAAAGTTGTTGAATTTTACCACGGTAACTTCTATGTCCATAACATGGAAACTTAAGATCTGCAGATCTGATAACTCACATACAAACATAGTGGTAACTTTTTGACCTAAGGAAAAGAGTTGGTGAAATATACTTTTGTAATTTTTGTGTAAAAAGTCTGGTAATATACGCACCGCAGTGTTGGGAACTTACGTACAAACACCACGATAAACTTTGATCGGAGAAAAAAATGTTAAAAACATACCCCAGTAATTTCTACGTAAATAGCATGATAATATATGCGTTGCAAACCTAATAACTTAGATATAAACACCACAGTATCTTTTACCTAGGAAAGCCAACTTACAAGCATGCCTTCACCTCCACGCCCCTCGTGACCACCTAGCTGGCATCACCACCGTCGGCGTGTGACAACAACCTTGGCAGGAGCAGGAAGAGACTTCACTGCAAGGTTACATTGCCTAGTAGGCTCCCGAAATGTTCGATGAAGTGCGTGTCTGGTTCTTCCTGGTGTGGATAGTAGTTGTGGTCAAAAATGACATGTAACTTTTGATCAAATAAGATTTTTAAAGCAGCGTAGGCTTGATAATTTGCATATAAACATTATGATACCTTTTGACTCAGGGTAAACAAATATTAGAAAATATACCTACGATAATGTTTGTGTAATAGCATGCTAACATACGCATTGTAGACTTGATAACTTACGTCCAAAACATCACGATAATTTTTGACCTGGGAAAAAATACCGTTGAAACAATACTCCGGTAATTTTGATGTAAAAACATGGTTTTTAAGCAACCCAGACCTGATAACTTACAAACAAAATCATGTTGATTTTTTGACCTGAGACTTTTTTGTTCGAAACATGCCCGGTAATTTCTATGTAAATAACATGGTGATATAAACTCCAATAACCGATAACTTAGATACAAACATGTAACTTTTTGACCCAGAAAACTTTTTGTCAAAAAACACATCGCGGTAACATTAACCAAGGATGAAAAAGTTGTTCGGCGAGAACTTCTGTGAAGATAGCATGCTAATATACGAACCGTTCACCTGATAACTTGCGTATAAACAACACGGTAAATTTGACGAAGGGGGGAACAGTTGTTGAAAAATATACCCTGGTAATTTTTATGTAAATAGCATGGTCATATAAGAATTCAATACTGATAACTTAAGTACAAATACCGCCGTGACATATTTGACCATGGAGGAAAAAGTTGCTGAAAAAATATAGCACGATAAGTTCTATGTAAATAACATGGTAATATAAGAATTCCATATCTGATAACTTAAATACAAACACCACGGTAACATTTTTTTGACCAACGAGGAAAAAGTTGCTGGAAAGTATAGCACGGTAATTTTTATGTAAATTGCATGGTAATATAAGAATTTCATACCTGATAACTTAAGTACAAACACCGCGGTAACATTATTGACCAAGGAGGAAAAAGTTACTAAAAATATAGCACGTTAGCTAAGTACAAACAGCGCGGTAACATTTTTGAACAAGGAGAAAAAAGTTCCGGAAAAATATAGCATGGTAATTTCTATGTAAATAGTATGGTAATATACGAACCTCATACCTGATAAATTTAGTCCAAACACTGCGGTAACATTTGACCAAGAGGGAAAAAATTGTTGAAATACTGTGGTGATTTGCATCTGAAAAGGAAGGGAAGGGGACGCCTGAGTTTGTGAACCATCTGAACCGGTGCAAAACGTCCATAAAAAAGTTCCAAATCCCAGACAAGTGAGTCTGTCTGTTTGAATTTTCAGTTTCATTCAATCTCATTTCAGGAAGGTACAAGTAGCGTGTAAGTTGAAAGAAACCAATAAGATGGTGTAGCCCAGTTGGTTGTTGTTGCTAAATTAGTTGTGGTAGGTTGTGGGTTCGATCCCCCCTCCTAGTGTATTTTTCGCTTTTTTCAAGCTGCAAATGTGCGTGCGCAGAATCGGGACAGGCCCGCCCCCAGCGGTGGGATTCAGGTGGCCCAGAAAATCGGG